GAGTTACCTCAAGAAAGTCACCATCATCTTTCTAAATTTAGCAGAGTACAACTAGTTTTTTCTGACCCAGCTCTGGCAGCAGACCCTAAATCAGGCGTCTAGATAATTTAGACAAGCGCTTCTCATAATTCCCTTTCGACTTATGACAAACAGCTCTGTAGCTAATCGCCATATCGAGTTAAGTCAAGAAAATCATCACCATCTCCAGAAATTACCAGGGTACGGATAGGTTTTCGGACCCAGCTCTGATAGCAGACCGAGTTCAGGCGTCTAGACACTTTGAGCCAGCGCGCCTGGTCAGTTCCTTCTGGTTGCTGTGCTGGGGACATCTGTGGCTCATCTGCAGCTCCCGTTGAGTCAAGAAAAACATCAGCATCTCTGAACAATTAGCAGAGTAGGAATAGTTTTTCGGACCCAGCTCTGATTGCAGACCAAGTTCAGGCGTCTAGATACTTTGAGCTAGCGCGCCTGGTGATTTCATTCCAATTGCTGTGCGAACAGCTCTGTAGCTTATCTGCAGCTCGATTTAAGTCAAGAAAATCATCACCATCTCTAGAACATTAGCAGAATCCGAACAGTTTTTCGGACCCAGCTCTAATAGCAGACCGAGTTCGGGCGTCTAGATACTTTAAACTAGCGTGCCTGATGATTTCCTTCCGATTGCTGCCGAACAGCTCTGTAGCTCTTCAGCAGCTCGAGTTAAGTCAATAAACTCATTATCATATCAAAAAATAGTAGAGTACGAATAGTTTCGCGGACCTAGCTCTGGTAGCAGACCGAGTTCAGACATCTAGATGCTTGAGGCGTACGCGCCTGACGATTCTAGATCGATTAGGTGTTCTACCAGCTCTGTAGCTCTCCTACAGCTCGAGTTAAGTGCAGAAAACCGACAGCACCTGCCAACATGACACGAAACAGCCGATCCCGCCGGAATGCTTTTTGACAGTAGTAGGTACCCGATCGACCTGATAATAAGATGGCGAGCGGGAATAAGATCGAATATGGGGGGGGAAATACTAGGGCTCTAACTACCTTTCAAATTTCGAGAAATCAAATTTTAAAAAAGCCAAAACACACAAAGCATCCGTCGACATTTGTTTTGCCAACTAGCCCCCCAGCGCGCCGGAATTACTCTTCTAGATTCGCCGCTAACGCTCCTAGGGAAGCTCTGCGAGTCACTGAAGACGATAATGATGGTATCGCTCATGATGGTGGGAAGGAGGAGACCAGAGGCACACATAAGGAAGACAAGGAGGGGAATAATTAGGAAGAGGAGGAGGAGGAGGAAAAAGAGGAGGAGAAGGAGGAGAAAGAAAGGAGGGATGATGATAACAAGGAGTGGGGCGGAGGAGGAGGCGGAGGATGAGAATAAGGAGGACAAGGAGAGAGGAGGAGGACAAGGAGGGAGGAGGAATATGAGGTGAAGAAGGAGGATAATAAAGAGGCCGCAGGGGGAAGAGACCAGTGTAAACCCGAGACGTATCAACGATGTTGCAATAAGCCCTCCCTCCAAGTTGCATCTCCATAGGTCTCTGCAACGATCTATCTGTGCTAAGGGATTTGCCCGTTGTAAGACAAACGCCTGGAAATACTGAGCCGTGCCAAAACACCAGTCCTTGGATTTCAACGCCACGAACCAATATGACTGTTGCGCCCTGACAGCCCTGCATCATGCCACAGCTGGATTGCTGGGACGTCAGCCATACCAATCCTTGAAACTGCTGCACACTCCTAATACGAATGTGCGCGGCGCTACGGCGAGAACCCCATTTTGAAAAAGTACCGCCCCCCATCCGTGAAGCTCTTGTGAGCTTTGAAGACAATGTGCACGGCGCTACGGCGAGAACCGCACGTTGAACAGATGCTGCCCTCGATCCGTGAAACTCATACCACCTTGTAAAGACAAACATGCGCGGCGCTAGCGCGAGAACCGCATTGTGAAAACGGCCCGCCCTCCATCCGCGAAACTCGTGCGAACTCTCGAAACGAAGGTGCGCGGCGCTAAAGCGAGAAACACATCTAGAAAACCAACCACCCTCCGTCCGTGAACCTCTTGCACACGTTTAGGTTTATGGATGATGGCTGGTGAGGCATCTCACGCGAAAGTCTGGCCCGCCCTGTCGACGCGCCTCGGGGTGCGACAGGGAAGAGCTGCTTACAAGGACGCAGGACGGGGCGGAGGAAGAGAAGGAGGAGGAAGAGGAGGAGTAGGAGGAGGAGGAGGAGAAGGAAGAGGATAAGGATGAGGAAGAGGAAGAAGAGGAGGAGGAGGAGGAGGAGAGAGGAAGAGGAGGAGGAGGGGAGGAGGGGGAGGGGGATGAGAAGGATAAGGAGAAGGATAATGAGAAGGAGAGGAGTAGTAGTAGGAGGATGAACAGGATGGGAGGAGGAGGAGGAGGAGAGATGGATGAGGAGGAGAAGGAGGAGGAAAAGGATGAGGAGGAGGAGGAGGACGAGGAGGAACAGGCTGATGATGCTGCTGATGATGATGACGAGGAGGAGGAGGACGGAGGAGGAGGACGGAGGAGGAGGCGGAGGAGGAGG